GAGCGTCCTGGGGTCACCTGCTGCAGGGGGAGGCCCTCACTCTTACTCCATCCCAACCCCGCAGGAATTTCATGCGTGATGCTGAGGAGATCGCCTGCAGCCGGCGCATGAACAGCCTGACACTGAACCGGCACACGGAGATCCTAGAGATCCTGGAGATCCCGCAGCTCATGGACACCTGCGTCCGCAATGGCTACTATGAGGAGGCGCTGGAGCTCGCTGCCTATGTGCGTCGGCTGGAGAGGAAGCACAGCAGCATCCCTGTGATCCAGGTAGGCCCCGCTCTGCTCCCGCCCTGTGACTGCCCCACATCCAGCCCCCGTGGCTGAAGCCTTTCTCCCGCTGCAGGGCATCGTAGACGAGGTGCGCCAGTCCACCCAGCTGATGCTGAACCAGCTCATCCAGCAGCTCCGCACCAACATCCAGCTGCCGGCCTGCCTGCGGGTCATCGGCTACCTGCGGCGCATGGACGTCTTCACGGAGGCCGAGCTGCGCATCAAGTTCTTGCAGGCACGGGATGCCTGGCTGCGCTCCATCCAGGCCTCTATCCCCGATGACGACCCCTACTTCCACATCACCAAGACCATCGAGGCCTGCCGTGTCCACCTCTTTGACATCATCACCCAGTATCGCGCCATATTCTCCGACGAGGAGCCACTTCTGCCCCCCGAGGGGCAGGCCCTCAATGAGGGGGCCATCTTCCATGGCTGGGTGCTGCAGAAGGTCTCTGAGTTCCTGCGGACGCTGGAGCGTGATCTCCATCGAGGGGTGGGTGGCCGCCTGGACTCGCTGCTGGGGCAGTGCATGTACTTTGGCCTCTCCTTCAGCAGGGTGGGGGCCGATTTCCGTGGGCAGCTGGCCCCCCTTTTCCAGCGTGTGGCCGCTGCTGCTTTCAAGAAGGCAGTGGAGGAGGCGGTGGAGAAGTTCCGGGAGGAGATGAATTCCTACACGCTCATCTCCGCCCCAGCAGTTCTCGGCGGTAGTGCGGGGGTGCCGGTGCCTGCAGCCCAGCCAGGGACGCTGCAGCCCCCCATGGTGCTGCTGGACTTCCCGCCCCTCGCCTGCTTCCTCAACGGCCTCCTCGTTGCCTTCAACGATCTGCGGCTCTGCTGCCCCGTTGCCCTGGCCCAGGACGTCACTACCTGCCTGGAGGACTCGCTCGGTGAGGTGAGGTGCTGTGGGACAGAGCTGTGCCTTGACCTGGACAACACGGGGACAGGCTGGCCCTCCTCTGAGTGTTCATGGGATAGACTCATAGAATTATTTAGGTTGGAAAAGCCCTTTAAGATCAAGTCCAATCGTTAACCCAGCACTGCCAAGTCCCCCACTAAACCACGTCCCCAAGCACATCACCTGCATCTCTTAAATCTCTCCCAGCATGGTGCTGCCACCACCTCCCTGGGCAGCCCCTGTCAACACCTGACAGCCCTTTTCATGAAGAAGTTGGCCCTAATATCCAATCTAAACCTCCCCTGGCACAGCTTGAGGCTGTTTCCTCTTGTCCCATCACGTGTCACCTGGGAGAAGAGACCAAACCCCACACCACTGCCCCCTCCTTTCAGGGAGCTGTAGAGAGCAACAAGGTCTCCCCAGATCCTTCTCTTCTCCAGGCGGAACACTCCCAGCTCCCTCAGCTGCTCCTCACAGGAATTGTGCTCCAGACCCTTCTCCAGCTCCGTTCCCTTCTCTGGACACGCTCCAGCCCCCCAGTGTCTTTCTTGTAGTGAGAAGCCCAAACTAAACACAGGATTCGAGGTGCAGCCTCACAAGTGCCCAGTACAGGGGGACGATCCCTGCCCTGGTCCTGCTGGCTGCACTGTTCCTGATGCAGGCCAGGATGCCCTTGGCCTTCTTGGCCACCCGGGCACACACCGGCTCATATTCAGCCGCTGTCGACCAACACCCCCTGGTCCTTTTCCGCCGGGCAGCTTTCCAGCCCCTCATCCCCAGGACTGGAGTGTTGCAGGGCATTGTTGTGGCCCAAGTGCCTGGCACCGCACTGTGAGAAAGGAGCGGCCTGGGGTTGTGTGTGGGTAAAATTAACGGCTGTCTTTTGTCCCAGGTGACCAAAACCATCCTGGCCTTCCACCGTGCAGAGGAGGCGGCCTTCAGTGGCCGCGAACAGGAGCTCTTTGCCCAGTTTTGCACAGCTTTCCTGGAGGATCTGCTGCCCTACCTGAACCGATGCCTCCAGGTCCTCTTTCCACCCGCACAGATCGCGCAAGCGCTGGGTGAGACCCTGGGGACGTGCGGGGCATTTTTTCCAGGGGGAGGGACACGAATAACATGGGTGGGGGCAGAGCTTCCATGAGACCCCAGGGACTTGCGTCAGGGTGGGGGGAAGCCACGGGTTGGGGCAGAGACAGGGCCCGGAGACATACTGGGCTCTGTCCCACTGTTGCCACCTCTTGGGCGTGTGGTTGCCTGTGGGACCCCACTCGAGCCCCGGGGTTGGGGCAGAGACAGGGCCCGGAGACATCCTGGGCTCTGTCCCACTGTTGCCACCTCTTGGGCGTGTGGTTGCCTGTGGGACCCCACTCGAGCCCCCTCTCCCTGTCTGTCAGGCGTCCCCCCAACTCAGCTGCAGCGCTTTGGCCACCTGGGACGCATCGACTTGGGTGCCCTCAGGGAGCCCCTGGCTTTCCTCCTGCCGGCCCCAGGCGAGGAAGAGC